TCAGTGTATCATTTCACACGTGTGCAAATATATTTGAAGGATAACAATCTAGAATTAGAATTGCTGAGTAAAGAGTATGAGCATTTACAGAGTCAGTGGATGTTGCCAAATTGTCCACTGTAGTGAAACTGATTTATATCACCACAGCCAACATGCAAATGCCTTTTCCCCCCAACATACTGTTTTATTACATTATTGAACTTAGTCTGATGGAAAAGAGGAAATCTGATTATAGTTTTAATTGGTATTTCTCTTTCATGTGACATTAAACATCTTTTTAATATGTTTGAGGTTTTGTATTTCCTTTTTATGAACATGTCCTTTGTATGTTTTTCTGTTGAGTCCTTGATTTTTATCTTACTGATTTGTAAGTGCTCTTAATATAGTAAGAAAAGCAAACTCTTGTGATTTGTGATGACTGCATTTCCTATTTCATTTTGACATTTGTCAAAGAAGAATTCTTATTTCTTGTAACAGGTTTTCAGCAACTTTTTAATTGCCATATACATGCAAATATTTTTTGAGATAAAATGTATTAGTCTTTTGTGGCTTTGGGTTTTATCTTATTCTCAGAAAGGCTTTCCTAACTTTGAGATTATTAGAACAAAAACAAACCCTACCTTTTCTTCAAATGCTTTGGGGTTCTTTGAACATTTTTTTTTTTTTTAGATTTTATTTATTTATTTGACAGAGAGAGATAGAGCACAAGCAGGGGGAGCTGCAGTCAGAGAGAGAGGGAGAAGCAGGCTCCCCACTGAGCAAGGAGCCTGATGTGGGGCTCAGTCACAGAACCCTGGAATCATGACCTGAGCTGAAGGCAGACGCTTAACCGACTGAGCCACCCAGGCGCCCCTGAACATTTTTTATTATTTGTTTTGATGTGAGAAATATTTTCCAGGTGGCTGCCCATCAACATTTATTGAATAATCCACATTTCCCCCAGTGATCTGCAGTGTCCCCTTTAGCATATACTAAATTCCTGTATATATTTGTGTTTGTATTTGGATTGTCCATACCATAGCTCTCTGTTCATGAATCAGTACCACCATTTAAGTGATTGTAGAATCATAATATCTTTTAAAATATCTCAGGGATTTTAAATAATTTGTTTATTTTGCTTTTTTTTCCATGTGTATTTTAGAATTACCATGTGCTGTATTCTTCGCTTAGCTTTTATTTTTTTTCTTGGAAGTTTTATTCTAATCAGCTTATTTTTGTTATTAAAAATGGGATTGTTTTCTATCATTATAGAACTGTTTTTATAGCTCATGGGTTTTAATTTATTATTTTTACATGTAGCCACTTCATTAAAATTCCTCTAATAGTTTCTTTGGATTTTCCTGGTATCTACTCATATCATTTACAAGTGATGACAATTTTGTTTTCTTTTTTCTGTTTTTAAACTTCTTTCTTTCTTGACTGATGACATTGGCCACTACCTCCAGAACATGGTTAAATATTTGTGGTAAAAAATGGACATCCTTTTTTGTTCCTGATTGTCAGTCTTCTTGGGTTTTTCCATTATACATGATGCTGACTTTGAATTGAATTTTTTGTATCTTATCATATTAGGGGGAGTTGGCCTAGTGTTTGTTTCAAAATTTAAAAAAAAAATAGATCTTACATTGACAGAACAGTTGCAAGGGTAATACACAGAATTTTTTTCTTCCTGAACCATTTGAGGGCAAGTTGCCAGCCAACCTGATAGGCCGTTGCCTCGCTCCAAATACTTTAGTGTTTATTTCCTATAAACAAGTACTATCTTATGTAACCGCATATAACCATCAAAATCAGGAAATTAACACTGATACATTACTACCATCTAATCCTCAGACCCCATTAATGTTTCATCACTTGTCCTAATTAGGTCCTTTTATAGCCAAATTCAGTTCAAAATCATGTATTACGTTTGGTTTTCATGTCTTTTTAGGCTCCTTCAATCTAAAACAGTCTTTCCTTGACTTTTATAAGCTGACACTTTTGAACATCACAAGAAAGTTAATGTGAAATGTCCCTCAACTTGAGTTCGCCTGATATTTCCTTATGATTGATTTCAGGTTATGTATCTTTGGCAGAAATATCACAGAGGTATTCTGTGATCACCAAGAAATATCACCAATACTATTATTCTTTTTTGTTTGTATTTCTGGGCAACTCCATCTTCTCTGTAATCTTTGTCTTAAACGGTTCTAGGTCTTTTATTTTTATTAAATATTTAACTAATCCAGTATGTGAATTGGTAGAAGGATGGGGAAGCAAGTGTACTGGAAACAACAAGGAGTTTTTAATCACAGTACAGACTTTCCAGTATTATGGGCTGAAGTTTCAGAATCATCCAGGAACCATGACGGTGGCAGAAATACAAAACTAGCCAAAGGATATAGAGAGGAAGAAATTGGTCATTGATTTTATTATTACTTTGATTTTATAATTATGCAGATTAGATTATTGTTTTTATTAAAGCCGTTTTGAAGAGTGTATAGAATTCTATGCCAAAGCATTGTTTGGTCAAACAAGTTGGACTATCATATCCTTTTGACAAGGCTTTCATTTTTTCAGCTTTTATTATTCCTTTTTTTTAGTGGGTGAGTGGGGGGCAGATGGAGATGAGGGATAGAGGGAGAGGGAGAGAATCTTTTTTTTTTAAAGATTTTTATTTGAGAGAGCAAGAGAGAACATGAGCAGGGAGGAGAGGGAGAAGCAGGCTCCCCACAAGCAGGGAGCCTGATGCGGGGCTCGATCCCAGGACCCTGGGATCATGACCTGAGCCGAAGGCAGATGTTTGACTGAGCTACCCAGACGCCCCAGGAAGGGAGAATCTTAAGCAGGCTCCATGCTCAGCGCAGAGCCTGACCTGGGGCTCAATCTCCCGATTGCGAGATCATGACCCGAGCTAAAATCAAGAGTTGGAAGCTTAACTGACTGAGCCACCAGGTGCCCCTCATTTTTGTCAGCTTTAAATACAATGTGTTATTATTATGCTTACATAAAATAATGATCTCCTTGCAGAATACATAATTTTGAAAGGTTTTATGATCATTAAGTTTGGGTAGTATAGATATTTGATGTCTTTTCCTCTGTCTATCGTTGTCTTTGGACTATTTTTAATTCAGTAAGAAAAAAATAATCCTTCTTTAATTGCAATTTCAAGAGCTTATTGAAATAAAAACAAAAACAGCACTACTTACATCTTGAAAATTATAAGATCCTTGGTAAATTGGATTTTGTGTTCAATATGGTACTGAAAACATTAGGAGTGTTATTCAAACTGAGTAGAAGTAGTTAGTGGTTCACTCACTAAACTTTAGTTGGACAATCCACAATTTCTTAAGGATGTGGTAAGGTCATCATTAAATATAAGTTCCTGCTTACTTAAATGGAAAGCACTGTGGAAATATAAGTAACATTGTTATCTGCACTAATGTAATAGAAATGGAAGGGGAAAGCATATGAGAATAGTGAAATTGATGGCTATCCTTGAGGGTCCTTAAATCCCTTCTGCCCTATTCTTAGTGGTGTTATGGGTTACTTTAACAAGTTAGTGTTTGCACCTAGTTTCAGTTCCTTAAGTGGAAGATACTATTTCAATTCTAAGTGTCTTTTTAGATATTCTGGAGAGCCACTCTTACCTAGCTGTTTTTCTGAAGACAAAAGTTTTACAGTTTGTTTACATGTTAAAATGTAGGGTTTTTTTGTTTTTGGTTTTTTCTTTAATTATTCCTTGAAGGGACCAGGAACCAGTGGAGGGCTGTGGTTTCTGATTTTCCTTTTTTGAACTTTCACTTTTTTTCTGCACATTAAATCTCCTAAAAGAGGTTAGGGTGAAAGGTGGGGATTGAGAAAAGGCAGCTCTTTATTGTTTGCAGGGGAGGTCCAGAATAAAGCCTTTCAAGACAATTTTAAGTCCATCATAAGATTTATATATGTGGTGAAGCTCTGAGAACTGTTACTTCTCAGTGGTGTTACAAGAACTCAGGATTTTACTAGCCCCTTTCCCCATCTTCCCTCTTTATAAAAGAGAAGCCCCCTCAATGCCATAAACACTTAAGTAAACTATACTGTACACTTTACATATGTCTGCATTTATATTGGTTGTTTTAGATTATAGACTCTTAGAGGACACAGTCTACCTGTTGTAACATCCCTGATCTGAAGTAAAATGCATATTTTAAAAAAAAGGTTTTTTTCCCCTTGCAATCAGTGCCTTTCTATATACTTACGCACTTGTGACACATATGTAGAAGGAAACGTATTTGCATCTAAGTGTCTTATCTCCCAAAGTTTCTTTCTTCAACTGGGTTAAAAAGTTTTTTATTTGGTCTAATCTTAGTTTTGTCTTTCTTTTCCCTACTCAGGCCCAGATTGCTTTCCTTCAGGGGGAAAGAAAGGGTCAAGAAATTTTGAAGAAGGATCTTGTGAGGAGAATCAAAATGCTGGAGTATGCTCTTAAACAGGAAAGGTAATTCAATGAAATGGAAGATGATGTTCTCTTTAAAGATTGGAGTAATTTTTCTGTCATTCCTAAAACAAATCCAAATTTTAATACTTAATACTTTTGAATTCAGGAAATAGTGTCTGTAATACACATTTAAAAATGGTTGTAATATGTTAATTTAATGTTCTTGTGAATGTTTAATAATCATGACCAATAAACTGATTTACATGATTTAAAAAAAATTTAGCAACATTTTTCCTCTTCCCTGTCCTTTCTTAAGAAACTTAGGTGTTTCCTGAGCTGTCATTATCCATTTCTTTATGGAATTGAAATCGTTTTTGAGTTGTAAAGGAAATTTCTGTGATGCTTACTCCCTCATCAACTAATATTATTCAGTTTGATGTGTTTTCTTTGGGAAAAAATGCAGACTGTATTGAGAATCTTTTTTATCTTTTTCTAGACTTTTTTTTTGGTATTTTGTTCCTTTGCTATCAGTGCTACTCATCTCTCTCCAGAAGTGAATCTTATCTTTCTATGTTGCTAGGTCTAAGATACTCAAGCAATTAAGCTCAGGTCACAGGTAAAGGACAATGGGTCATAGATGAGAATTTTGGAAGTTTTCATATGAATTATAAGTTTATTTGTTTTAACAGGTCGTCTTTGGATTTTTTGTTTTTAGAGAATTTTTTGTTTTTGTTTCTGATAATTGAGTACTTGCTTGATAGGCGATATTGAAATTCTCTATTTTGCTTGTTTTTTTTTTTTTTTTTTAAGATTTTATTTATTTATTTGTTAGAGAGAGAGAGCATGGGCGAGAGAGAGTGAGCGAGAGTACAAGCAGGGGGAGCTACAGGCAGAGGGAGAAGCAGGCTCCCTGCTGAGCAAAGAGCCTGATGTGGGACTCAATCCCAGCACCCTGGGATCATGACCTGAGCCGAAGGCAGCCGCTTAACCGACTGAGCCACCCAGGCAACCCTGTTTTGCCTGTTTTGATCACATACTTTTCTCATTTCTTTGAAGTTGATGAATGGGCTGTTTGCAAAACTGCCATAAAATAGCATTTAACAGATGATATTTGTGAATATTAAGAAGCAGATTAAACTTTATTAGAACTTGTTTTCACCTTTACGCGGGATCTTTGAATGGCACAAGAAGTTGAAAACAGGCTGACCTCTTGGTTAAAAAATAGATGATTCTTTTTTTTCCTTGAGAGGTTGATTGAAAGCTGTATTGGAGAGATTGGGTGGGGGGAGGGAAACTACTTTTAAAAGCATGCACTTTGGGAATATTTGAGATTTTAAGCAATCTAATTATAGGCATCATGGAAGAGAAAGAATAATAACATTAATAATGGCAACTCTTTATTAACTACTGTGTACCAGGCCTTGAAGCTTAAAAACAAAGTAACTTGAGTAGAGTTGCAAAGTTGTAGGAGAGCTGTGATTCAGATCCCTCAGGTCTGTCTGATTCTGAAGTCTATACTCTTTACCAATACATGATTCTATCTTGTAATACAGAAGAATTAAAATATACATATACTAAAGTAACCAGGGATGTTTTGTGTGTGTGTGTGTGTGTGTATGTATGAGTGTGTCCCTTCTCATTAAACATATTCATTAATATATCCATCCAACTTAAGCATTGTGCTGGAGCTGAGTATAAACATAGGTCACTGTCCTTGTCCTTGTCCTTAAGGGCTCAGAGTAGCAAGAAACACACTTGTAAACCACAAAAGTGTAGTGCAGTATGATAAGTGCTATGGGAGATGTCTGCACAGGGTACAGTGGGGTCACAAAGAAGGGAGTGGTTATTTGGATCTGGAAGGTGGAAGTAGAAGGAAGGACGTAATTGGAGAGGAGTTGAGACTTCAACAGTATCATAAAAAATAAGATGTTCGGGGCGCCTGGGTGGCTCAGTTGGTTGGGCGACTGCCTTCGGCTCAGGTCATGGTCCCGGGGTCCTGGGATCGAGTCCCGCATCGGGCTCCCGGCTC